TCAAACAGGTTGGATGATGTTTTCTTGCCCCAGTGCTCTCTAGAATTATATAGGCATGATTTCTTTGCATGCAGAATAATATCTCTTTCATCATCCGTGATGTCGTCATAATTTGAGGCGAAATCTAGCGCTGCGTTGAGAAGATCAATTGAAATAGATGGGTAGAAGTCAACCACGTCAAAAGTAATGAATGAATATTGATCTTTGTTCGGGATGTTATTGAACCATGTTAACACAGATGAGGTGTTTTCCCACTGGTTGACTCCAATACTTGCAATTACTTTTTGGTTGATTCGATCAAGGAGTTGTTTGCTTACTTTGCCAATTTCTGATTTAGCTGGGTTAATAAGGCGACAGGTAGGATTATTTTTGAAGTTAGGTTTATGATCTTTTAAGGTGATAAACGCTTCACGCTCGGCTGTAATATTAATCCTGTCAGCAAGATTTAATTTCGTCGCAATATCTTTAGCCTCGTTGTTGATTGAAGATACGGTGTCGGGTGTAATTTTTTTGTATGTTTTTTGTTATATTCTTTTGGAGAAGCTTGTTGTAAGAAGGAGAGTCCATTTTGTAGTAATTTGTAGTTTTGTCAGCCGGTACGAATAATTTGTCAGATGTCCTGATGCTTCTTATATCTGAGGATATTTTGTTTTGGAATGGGCAGTTGACTTTCTTGAATTTTACATTTGCGATCATGAAATTTCTTTATATATATATATATATATATATATATATATATATATATATATATATATATATATATATATATATATATATATATATATATATATATATATAATGCAAATGCAATTGCCAAAAACCAAGTGAATGCCCTATGTCAAAAAATTGTTTAGCAAAATCTGTTATCTACCAAGCCACAGTAAAAACATCTGACAAGCGGCCCACTCAAACATATGTTGGACTAACAGAAAATGAATTCAAAACTCGATACACCAATCACAAAGCTTCATTTAATAACTATGAGAAGCGTAATTCTACTGAATTAAGTAAATACATCTGGAATCTTAAGAACAATAATATTAGTTACTCTATCAGATGGAAAATTTTAAAACGCGCTAAATCTTACAGTAATGCATCCAAGAGATGTAACTTGTGTATCGGGGAGAAGTATTTCATTATTTGTAAACCGGACATTGCAACACTTAATCGTCGCAACGAACTTGTCTCCACGTGTAGACACGCTAATAAATTTCTACTTAAAAACTTTATAACTTGACACTAATATTTTCGTGACACTACTTGAGGTGTTAATTGATTTGTAATTAGATAAGCGTCCTTTATACCATCTGTACATATTTAAAAAGTTCGTTAGAAGCTATAGGTCAAACATAGGCTATTTTATCTGAAGAGTTCCACGTTATTTACGTGGTACGAAACTGTATAGTAATAAATATGCCAAACAAAGCATATATATATATATATATATATATATATATATATATATATATATATATATATATATATATATATATATATATATATATATATATATATATATATATATATATATATATATATATATATATATATATATATATATATTACACATACAGTACACATAGTTTGCAATATATATTAATTTAATTAATTAATGATCAGCGGAAAAATGGATATTTTTTAAAAGATCTTTGAACCGCTTTAATGAACTCTCTTTTTTCAAAACTTCAGGAAGAGAGTTCCACACTTTTGCGCCGGAGTAAACAAAACTTCTCTTGTAATATTCAGTTCGAATTAGTGGAAGTTCGACATTCTCTGTTGAAGAACGAAGATCATAAAAATTGGCACCAGTTTCTGGTCTAAATAAACCTAAGAAACATGACGGTGCTTTATGGTTTAATATTTTATCCATCATCACTGCTTTGCATTTTTGTCTTCGTTCACTCAACTTCTCCCATCCTAATTCGTTTAATATATCACTGGACCTTCGCGAATAGTCGGCTCCAGTAATAATACGTGCTGCACGATTTTGAAGTTTTTGAAGCTTTAACGCCAAATAGTCACTGATGCCATCCCAAATTATACAACAGTAATCAAAATAAGGTTCTACAATAGCTCTATATACATTCATAAGATCGCACTTTTTCAAGACTTTTCTATTTCTACGTAGAAGACTAACGCAGATCGCTAATTTTTTAATTACATTATCTATGTGCTCAGCCCATGTGAGAAATTCGTCTATTGTCACTCCTAAGCACTTAGTACTCTTAACTTTACGTAGAGATATATCATTAAGGGAAAGTGTCAGATTACCCACAAGTGAATTTATTCTTTGTTTTGAACCAACAACCATATATTCAGTTTCCACTGTATTTAAAGTAAGTTTGTTGGCTATAAGCCAGGATTCTAAATGTTCCAGGTCTTTTTTCATCTGCCGTTGAAGTTCAGAAAAAACACATGCTGAGAATGATACGTTAGTATCATCTGCATACATTCGGGCAGTACCATGATTAACATAAGTCGTCAAATCATTTATATAAATAAGAAATAATAAAGGACCTAGAACTGAACCTTGGGGAACTCCACTTTTGACCTGCACTTTACCAGATAAATAACCATTAACATAACATTGTTGAGTTCTATCAGTGAAATATGATTTAAACCAATGTAATGTTTTGTCGCAGATTCCAAGAAAACTTAATTTGGTTAATAATATATTATGATCAACAGTGTCAAATGCTTTTTTTAAATCTAAAAATAAGACACCATTGATCATACCTCTATCAATATTATAATACCACTGGTTAGTTAAATCCAGTAATGCAGTTACAGTTGAATGCAGTGACCTAAAACCGAATTGCCTTGAATTAATTAGATCAAATTTCATTAGATATGCATAAATCTGATTATAGACCAATCTCTCAAATAACGTAGAAATACCAAGCAAAACAGATATTGGTCTATAATTATTTGAGTCACTGCGTTCACCGGATTTAAAAATAGGAAAAACCTTTGCTGATTTCCACTCATTTGGAAAAACATTATGCTTAATGGATAAATTAAATAGGCTGGTAAGATGTCCATAAATACAAGGTGCTGCGATTTTTAATATCTTGTTCGAAATATTATCTAGACCAGTGGCCTTAGAAATGTCGAGCTTCTTCAATAATTTTAAAACCTCTTCAGCTTCTATTTCGACAAAAGCAAAAGACGAATTTGCTTTTTTTAAATATTTTGTCGGATCAACATTATAATCTGGAACTTCAGCAGCAAGCTTTGCTCCAATTTGTGAAAAATATTTATTAAAATGATTAGAAATATCGCATGCGTTTGTTAAAGTGTAGTTAACATTTGAAGGAATTTTAATTTCATTAATTTCAGTATTTTTGGATGGTTTGCCGATAAGACTATTTGACGTTTTCCAAGTACCTTTTGAGTCGTCTTTAAACTCGTTTAATTTATTTTGATAATAACGACGTTTCGCAGTGATCACGTCTGAATTTGTTTTATTGCGAGCTTTCTTATAGTTGGTCCAATCGTCAGGCTCCAGTACGCTTAGCAATTTTCTTCAGCATATATATATATATATATATATATATATATATATATATATATATATATATATATATATATATATATATATATATATATATATATATATATATATATATATATATATATATGAAAAACAAATGAAAACACTATTCGTATGTTGTCGGCGACAATAATGAAAACCAACGTTCAGGTTGAAGGTATACACGGTGTATCAAAAAAAGCGCAATCCTCGACTGAAATGTAAATCGCTAAACAAATAATAGACGAAAACGTTAAAGTTTACATTCATTTTAAAGCGTAGCCATTCAGCTTTCTAACAGTGGGTTGTTTCTTAAATTTGACTCATTGGTTCGCGGGTAGTAATACTTACGTTGTTGCGATTGGAGATTAAAAAAATTGAGATGGAATAACAAATCGTTCTCATGAAAATAACTGATTTTTTCATTAAAACAAAAAAATATTGCATTTTATTAAATGGATTGTAACAATAAGTATAATTACGGCTTTTCTTCCACTATTTTTAATTCAGTTTGAAACTTCAAATGCGATATAATTTTGGCTTGGACCATCTAAGCTGACTGACATCAACTTGCTATAATTTCTGTTTACATTACATCGCAATTCGATGACACTCTGGCTCAGACACCAGAATGTTTTGACGATTTTTAGCATTCGTTTAGGATTTTTAAACAACCTGGTCTCTTTTAAAATACTTTAAATTTGTTCTTACATGGTTTTCCAGATGTAGTGACGACAACATTAAAGTTTAAAGAAGAAAATTCTAACATTTAAACCGAGTAAACAATAACATAGTAAACTTGCATAATTCAACAGCAACTAAAAATGATAGGTTTTACTGAATCTTTTCCTGTGCAATTATTACTAGCATTGGAGACAAGGATAATAGTTTGTTTGAAAGAGAAAAGAACAGGCTTTGAAGTAAGCCTAAAAGCGTTTAACTAGAAATAGTATTTCGAAAGTTATTAAGCACAAAAGATGAATTGCGTTTATTTTGATACACCCTGTATATATGTCGCATGCTTCACTGCATTTCTTGCTTTAGCTTTTCGCATACCTGTGCAAATATCTGACTCGTGTGAACCAGGCTTATCGTATCATGGATTCTATTTAAGTTAGAACATAGTTGAAACACTTATCAACCTTTACTGTTACAATCTAGAGCTTGAGATGTTGGGCGTAACAATGCGTGAGGATCAACTCTCGTCCTCGTATGACCGAGGCTTGGACTCTAGCAACTAAAAAGATAATTGACATTGCACTAGAAACATACCTAAGCTGCCCGTGTAGAAAATTCAGTCTTGAGTCTCAACTGACGTGTTTCTGGAAATTAATCTTCACAAGACAAACAGTATCCCAATGGTATGAGTCTGATTCTCTGCATGAAAGCAAGTAAATAGCATTCTTGCGTGCCCTATAGTGAATGACATGCATAATTTTGGTCATGGTACAAAGCTCATGTATTGAAATCGAAATTACAAGTTTGAATACATGAGTTTCGTAGCATGACCAAAATTATGCATGTCATCCACCATTGCGCACTCAAGAACGCTATTTCCTGATGAGATGCAGCGGTGCATGGTCAAATATCATTATTCATTAAATGAAATGGCCAGCACTTTGTTTCTCTCGAACCTACCGCTCACAAACGTCTCGGTGTTCGATCTCCGTGTGGATATCTGTTAATCGTTTACCTGCAGACATATTTCAAGAACTTTGTAGACTGTATTTTGATGTTGGTAAAAAACGAACTGCAAGATTTACAGTGCATGTACATAATACTGAATATTAAAATATGCTTAGTCACATTAACTTGACTATACCAGCCAACAGAACTAAGTTTTCAAATTTATCATATTAAACATATTTCCCAAGGTCGAACTGATCAGTTTGTATTTATATTTTCCTGGATCTAAGATTATATAGTTATGATTCAATGGTGCTGTCCGGATATAGATAGGTTGGATTTTCTCCACAAATCTGTAAGTAAAAAGCCGAATTAGGTTTCTATTATAGTAGGTTCCTAGCCAATTTTTTGTAAATATGCTAATTTTATATTTTATTATATTGATTGTCATGTTTGATTGGGCATCTCCAGGCTCTACAAAAGTCGAGGGATTGAATACCAGCTAATTTTAGGGCAACATCATATGACTATAGGTAGGGTATATTATAGACAGTGCGCTGTGAGCGTTGCTGAACTCTTCAGTCATCTATAGATCGCTGCTATTGATAAAAATGCTATCAGTGTCTGGGAGGCATAGTCGAATGCTGTTCGTATGATTGTGCAATAAACAGATACAATATCAGCTGAAAAGACACCGCTTCACTTGAATTTCCTAGAGGTTTGCCAATAACCCGGCCTAAACAATGAGCAGAACTATAAACAATCAGTATGTCATTTGACAGGCCAATACTACAGCTATTCTTCAGACTTAATGTTTCCCAACACTATCACATATTCTGTTAAATAAACTGTTATAGAAAATTCAGTCAAACTTTTGTTTTGTTCATCTAGAGCTTAAAATGCCCCTGTGGCAACGCGTGACTGCCAACCCCCGTCAATTCTGATGGCCTCGCTTCACGTCCGGGGCTTTATTTCTGTATTTTTATGGCTCATAGCCACGCCACAGTCACATTCGAAGTCGTTTTGGGTGTCTTATGTGAATTCACTGACTATTGCTACTTATGGGTTGTTGAAGTTTACCGTTACCGTATATATAGATTCACAAAAGTTACGAGTTGTTTGTTACTTAGGTTTGTTATAAAGTTTATCTTCAACGATCAATAGACCATTTAGAGTTATTTCTGGCGGAGCTTATTAACAACCGATTTAAAATTTGAACATTTATAAACGTAAAGTAATCGTTCATATATTCTCAACTACTACACTCCCCCCCCCCCAAAAAAAAAGTTCGTGTTACGAAAGATTGTGCGACAGATTTACTACTAAGTTTTGCGTGAATTTATAATAAACAAGACAATTACTCAGGTGTTCACAGCTTCCCTCAAAATAACGACACCGGACCATAGATATATTATATACACTAGATAGTGCATCTAATTATTCTGCAATTCAAAAGTTGAAGCCGTGATTGCAGTCTCAGGTCGTTCCCATGAAGTGAGAAGATTCGTATGTTTTCCATTTCTTAAACAAGGAACTTAAACATTAAGTTAACCCTATTCCAAATACGTTTTTAAACTATTCAAAGAGGGTCCTGAAGGGGGGGTCCCAATCCCATTTCCCACCCGAAATTTTGGCAAAATCCCAGTCCCAGTTGGATTTTTATTACAAATCCCAGTCCCAGTTATTGAAATCCCAGTCAATAAAAACCCCTTTATTTATCGGTAGAATAAA